ACACACACACACACACACACACACACACTCACTGTCTGTGAATGAGAAAGATAGTTTAGACAATGTTGCTTCAAATGTTATCCTGGGTAAATAATGTCTTATATAATGTAACTTGCTTGGTTATGAATAGATGTTGCACTCTGCTGACGTGGTCAGGTGGATAATATCAAACCTTAAAATCAAAAATTTATAAAAAATGATACAACTGCTGTTCTCACAACTTCTCTTCATTTTGTGAAAAAAATGATTGATTACCATAATATAACATTACATTTTCAAATGAGTACATAGTTGTCCATAACACATTCTCTAACCTCTTACCCTAACATTAACCATCACAACTAAATTCCTAACTCCAACCCTTTCCCCAAGTTATTCTGACCCTAACCAAGTCTTAACCCCCAAACAGCCAAAATGTCGTTAAAGGTGTGTCACAAATGAATGAGTGCAAGTACACACGCGCGCACACACACACACACACACACACACACACACACACACAAACACAGAGAGAGAGAGAGAGGCAGGTTCTTTGCCTCTGTAGTGGGCGGGAGTTTAAAAGTGAAAGTGAAAGTTATCATGGACAACAAGGAAGGGTGATGAGGACAAAATGACTGAGGTAAAGCTTTCGGACATTTCTATAAACATGACCTCAGAATACACGGCTTTATTTGACTTTATAAGCATTTAAATACATTTCTTCTCTCACAGTAAGTTACAGTTCCTGATCTCATTGTAACAGCTTCATGTTTTCAGTTTGGTTCGGTACAACACCACGTGGTGTGGCCGGACTTGAACTTCAGTTATGCTGCTGCAGCTGTTGTCACCTCACACTCATAGATAGATTTGTCCTCTCCTGCTTTGTGGGCATGGAAAATCATGTGGTTCATTTGTCACATGTTTGATTCTCCTTTGGGATGAGATGTGCTGTGGCCTGACACTTGTACTTACTGTAAGCATGTCAACATTTCTTCCCTGGGCTAGAATCCAGTGCAACACATAGATTGAGGAGTGAGAGAGTGATATGGAGAAGTGAGTGAATATTAATTTCAACCATTGCAGTGACTAACTTGTCTGTAGAAAGCACAGACCTCCACGAGGCGGATCTTGGGCTGGGGTCAGAGGGGGTCTATCCCCAGCTAAAATCCGACTGGCCCCTGAGGTGCCCCTTTCCTGTCAGTAGTCTTTGAAAGAAAACACTGGTGCTTACTAAACAATACAAAAAAATAAATATAACAGTTTGTGAAGAATTTAAAGTGGACAATTTGCTTTAACAAGGAGCCATTTTTAAAATATCTTTAGTGGCTTTGCTCAAAGTTATAGAGCTAACAGTGAACATGGAATGATTTAATAGTGCACGTATTGAATCAGAAATTGTCCATGGATGTTGGACATATAATTGATGGACATATAATAAATAATCTGTGTAAATTGATACTCTTAGAAAAATCCAAGATCCACCACTGGACCTCCACTAAATCAATGAAAGAATAATCTCATTTAATTCTGTGCCTTTTAAGATAACAATGTCCTTCTTCCTCCACTTATGTCTTTCAGGTTCAAGCAGAAGACGTTTGTGTGTGACATTTTGCTCCAGCAACATCGGTGTCCAACACTCAGATCAGATGCCCCTTAGTTGCTCCCTCCCTGTGATTTCAATACTAGCTGTCATCCTGTCACACAGGTTGGCCTTGGTTCAAGGACATTTCTTCCACAATGGTATTGGTGATGCTGTTAGCACTGTCTCTACTTCACATGTCTCCGGTTGAGTGTCAGCCCACCCAGCATTCAAGTCCTCCAGGAGCACAACCTCCTTTGGGTACCGATAATCTGTCCTTCCCCTGGAGCCGTCTTCGCCTGCCGAGGTACCCTTCACTTATGTTTTACAACTACACACAAATTGGTGGAGCTATGTTTAAAAAAGCAACTCATTTTTGTTTATCTCAGGTACATCATTCCTCTTCACTACCAACTCCTCCTACACCCCAACCTCACGAGTCTCAGTTTCACCGGCTCAGTGCAGATCCAGATCGATGTCCAGAACAGTACCAACTGGGTTGTGTTACACAGCAAAGATCTGCAGATCTTTAAAGCCACCATATTGAACCAAAACCTCGATCATCTCTCTGACCAGGTAGATGGAAGTTAATCATCTTAGACTGGACCCAACTTCTCTCCATTCCATATTCTTTTAGCATTTTATGACTTGAATTTATTTGAACATTCCGTTACAGGTTCTTCCAGTTCTTCATAACCCTTCGCATGAGCAGATTGGCATTTTCTCTCCCAGGGTGCTCAGCAGTGGGCAAAAGTACTTCCTGTATATTGAGTTTGGGGCAGAGCTAGCAGAAGGATTCTATGGCTTCTACGGTAGCACCTACAGAACCAGTACAGGAGAGATGAGGTAAGAGCTGAGATTATTTCACAGGAAGTTTGGTTAAATACCCGACACATGCAGGTTTGTTACAATTATAATACAATGCGAAAATAAAAAACCTGCTGATGTCTCTGCCCAGAACCTTGGCTTCAACTCACTTTGAGCCCACGAGTGCTCGCATGGCGTTCCCTTGTTTTGATGAGCCGAAATTCAAGGCCAACTTCTCTGTTCGGATTAGGAGGAGCCCAGAGCAGATTTCTCTCTCCAACATGCCTGTAGTGAGTGATACACATGTTTCTTATAATAATAATGTATGCATCATAGTCGCCAGATAATACCAACTAGCCAGTAGCCAAATGTAGCTATAATATAATTGGGGTGAGTGAAGTTATTTAATTTGTGAGGTTACAACCGCCCCTCCCCCCAGCTTACATTAGTTATTGTATATGTTTAAAAATTGGTTACAGTGAAACATTTGTGTAACTCAGGTCAAGACAGTCGAAGTAAGTGACATCCTGCTCGAGGACTGGTTTGCTGTGAGCGTGAAGATGAGCACGTACCTTGTGGCATTTGTCATCTGTGACTTCAGATCTGTCACTGCAACAACATCCTCTGGAGTGCAGGTAAGGCCTCCAACACAATGTGTGGTTAAATGTTCTACTTTCCTTTTTTTTCACGCATTGTTGTGGATCTATAGGTGTCCATCTATGCTGCTCCTGGGAAGTGGCATCAGACACACTATGCCCTGGAGGTTGCTGTGAAAATGCTGGACTTCTACGAGGAATACTTCAACATTCACTATCCTCTCCCCAAACAAGGTAAACCTTTACTTTTAATTTCTGTAATTAAACCACCTATCTTCTGTTTATCCTGTCACTTTCTGCTGTTGCATGTCCTGTGTTTACTCTCTCTCAGATCTGATCGCCATCCCAGACTTTCAGTCTGGTGCAATGGAGAACTGGGGTCTGACCACCTACAGAGAGACAAGCCTTCTCTTTGACCCCCGCACTTCCTCTGTGTCTGATAAACTCTGGGTTACTATGGTGATCGGACATGAGCTCGCCCATCAGGTGAGTGTGACAGTGTACACAGCAATAACATAGTCTGTTTATCTCACGCAAATGCTCATAAATGTCTTCATTACACAAACAGTCAGTGCAGTAACAGCCAACGTCTCTCCTGCAGTGGTTTGGTAACTTGGTGACCATGGCATGGTGGAACGATCTCTGGCTAAATGAAGGATTTGCCAGATACATGGAGTTCATTTCAGTGGAGGCCACCTACCCTGAGCTCTCTGTGGTCCGTGCATCCATCTAATTATTGATTAATTAATGGACATTAAAGAACCACAGAGAAGATTGATAACGGTGTTCTGTGCATAATCCTGCAGGAGGAATATCTGCTGCACACCTGCTTTATAGCAGTTGGCCACGATTCGTTGAATTCCTCTCGTCCAATATCCAGCACAGCAGAGAACCCCACTCAGATCGAACAGATGTTTGACTCATTCTCCTACGAGAAGGTAGGTATACATGTGATGTGCCTTCTGTCACAAAGAAGGGTAAACAACAGATAATGGGGTATTGTTAGGGATATATATAACCTGTGAAGATTTTGTCAAAAAAACCCCAATTCAATTAAAAAATAGATATGTTACTATTTTTTTTGACCTACTCATGTTTGAAATAGTATACAAACTGCCAGCAGTTATACACTTGTGAATCGATTGATATATAGAACATCTACTCTGACTCCAACATATAACATAACCTGCTGTGATTAAATTGACCTTTCGTCTCTCTCCCACCAGGGAGCGTGTGTCCTGCACATGCTGCGACACTTTCTGACTGATGATGTGTTTCAAAGGGGGATTGTGCGATATCTACGCAAGTACAGCTACAATAATGCAGTCAACCAGGATCTGTGGGACAGTCTGACTAATGTATGAGCACAAACTACATTCAACCTGCTACTCACTGTGTGATCCTCAGTTATCCTATTAGAAAAGAAAAGTGAAGAAAGTTTAATTGAGATGATTCAGATTTCACTTATGGAGATATGATTACATGAAAAAGAGAATCTTGAGGAACAAAAATAACTGAATGGATGCCGTATGGGGCAGGGAAAAGGATGTTAAATTTTAGTGCGGATCCAGATGTTTTTTTCACCCTTTAGCTCACTGTTTACCAGCACATTTAAGGAACTTATATCTATGAGAGTTGGAAATACTTTTGTATGGTCAGTGGTTATGTAAGGTACATGTGATTTGTATTAAATTGACTAAACCATGGAGTAGACCAGGGAATGTCATGAATTCAATGATTTGGTTTTATTTTGTTTTTCAGACATGCTCAGAAGAAGACTTCATCTCTGGAAAACACTGTTACAGCAGCAGTCAGGCCACCAAGAATGCAGTGAGTAAACATTTAAAAAATAAACTCTCTGACCTCTGTTCCTAATTATAAATGTTACCGTCAGCGTGTGTTGATCCAGCTGTCTCCTACAGTACCTGTTTGCAGGGGAACATCTGGATCTGACGGCCATGATGAACACTTGGACTCTGCAAAGAGGTATTCCTCTGGTAACTGTGACCAGGAAGGGGGATCGTCTGCTGCTGAGACAGGACAGGTTCCTGAGAACAGTGCTGCCCTCTGACCCTCTCTGGCCCACACTGCAGAAGGGGTGAGCATGCACATAACCTGCAAAACTTTGATTTCAAACAGCTCTTGAGTTCCAGTTTTAGGTTATTTATTGTAAAAATACTTTCTGCTCTTGTATAGTTTTCTTTGGCATATCCCTCTGACATACAAGACAGATGCTTCCAGCACAATTCACAGACACCTGATGACGACACACACAGGTAAGAGGGACAAAAGAACACAAAATACAATACATATCTTAATCTTTCCAAGGTATGATATTGTTTTTCACCTTTTTCTATGCATGTGCCTTTCAGACAGTGTCCACATAGGAGAGGAGGTCAGTTGGGTGAAGGTAAACACTGACATGACTGGCTATTATGTGGTTCATTACGAGGACGATGGTTGGGATGAGATGACCAAACTGCTAAGAGAGAACCACACCGCTCTGAGCTACAAAGACAGGACTCAGCTCATACACAACTCTTTTCAACTGGTCACGTAAGCATCAAAGTGTGACTGTATTTGTGGGTCCGACTCCGAGATACATTTTCTCTGAGTGTCTGTTGTTACACTTAGATAAATGAAATAGCACCCAACCATTCAAATAATCTTGTATTTCTTTATAGTGCAGGTCACCTGCCGATAAGTAAAGCCTTAGACCTGATTGGTTATCTGCGACAGGAGACACACATAGTGCCTCTCCTTGAAGGACTGGGATATCTGGAAACATATTACCATGTGATTGAGAAAAGGAATGAGTCTGAGCTAACACACGACCTGGGGGTAAGAAGACAAACGAACGCTCACTGCATGAAGTTTATATCAATGTCAGCATTAAACTGAATGAGTGAGATGCTGTGTTAATAAGAGACAATATGTGCACTTTGGTGCAGACGTACATCCTGCGATTTTTCCGTGCCATCATCGACCAGCAGACATGGAGTGACAGCGGCTCTATGTCAGAGCGACGGCTGAGGTCAGAGGTCCTGTCTCTGGCTTGTCACCTGGAAGACCCTCGCTGTCTTCAGCGGGCACGTCAGAGCTTCACAGACTGGTTAAAGTCTAATGGAACACTAAAGTCAGTCTAGATTTCATATTAACACACATCGATCAACAATCACTGATTTAATTCAGATAAACACTAATGTGAGGTTTCACCTGGTCTTCAGTATGCATGACTCTGCTTGTGTTCATTCTACAGTTTACCCACTGATGTGGCAGAGACCGTGTATTCAGTTGGAGCACAGGATGACCATGGCTGGGCCTCGCTCTTACACACATACAACATCTCCCTCTCTGAAGCACTAAAAAGCAAAATCCTGTTCGCCTTGACCTGTAGCAAAGACACCAGCAAACTGGAAAGGTACACCATATTCTTCTCAACACAGTTACTGTGATGTTGCAATCGTGTGACTCTTATGGTGTACACACAGTACTGCTGCCATCCCTGAACTGTCTCATTGTTGGCCAGTACTACATTAGAGTGCATACCTCCACTAAGGCTCAATAGTCCAATTTTTATTTCAGTTGTCAAAGGAAAATGTTACAGTGACATTGATATGAATCAGGGAAAAAAGTATGTACAAGTAGTTTTCAAAAAAAAATCTAAATTCATGAATTATTTGCTTGGAAAACAGGGAAAATTGCTGGAAAATGTACACACCCCATCAGATTCTGCACGAAAACGTTATTTCCTGACCCATAATGCATCTTGCTTACAAACCAACAAACACACTCGGGTGAAAACGTATTAGTATTTTATTCATCAGAACACGTCTGTGTGTGTGTGTGAGTGTGTGTGTGTGTGTGTG